TCGAGTTGCTCGAGCTTGTACACCAGAGTCACCAGAGTCGGTAAGCATGGCTACCGGCTCGTCAGGCGAGATCCGAAGAGGATTCGCCAAGTTCAGTGGTGACCCAAGCGACTGCGTCGGCTGGCGAACCCTGCAGAACTCCTTGTTTATGGAGGACAAGCTGCACAAGGTTCTGTTGGGAGTGGAGAAAGCCCCTTCGGATCCCGGACCTAGTGCTACGCCGGACCAGACTTCGGCATACCAATCTGCCCTGGAAGGATACCAGGACAAAAACGGACAGATCTTTACTTGGCTGATGCTCGCCACATCTGAAACCGGGGACTACCAGAGCGCGGCCTCGCAGACTGTGCAGGCATTCGCGCCTGTCGGGTCTTCCTACAACGGAGACGGTCGTGGAGCCTTCATCGCTCTGGAACCAAAGTACCAGGCCGCTGGGGTATACCGTACGCAGGAGCTGCACGAGAAGTTCATGTCTTTGGCAGTTTCTGCGGACCACGACTTTGACCCGGCCAATGTTATTCAAGACCTGCGCCAGATCTGCACGGAGCTCGCCGTGTATAACGACACTGTGACTGACCACCGAAAGACGTTCGCTTTCCTAAAAGCACTGCCGGACGACCACTACAAAGAGTTCAAGACAGGACTACCGTGCGGCCAAGCTGCTGGGAGCGTCTTGTCCTTCGAGGAGGTCGCCGACCGAGCCACTTCGTTCCATGTTAGACGTACTCACAGCATCGACAGAATATTGCAAGCAAGAAATTTCCGAGCAGATGGAGCGGGGAGTTTGGGGGTTCAGCAGGTGCTTTGGATTCGATTTGATGGTACCAACTTTCCCCTATATTACAGGATTGAGGGTGGGGGTATGTGTGTGTCTACAGCGGATATGGTGATTGTGCGTTGTGGTTTCTCATTTGTTTTTTGTTTCCTCTTTTTCCTCCTTCCTGTGTGCAATCAAGTCCCTTTTCCCCGGCTATCACGCTACCACGGCTATCACGCCACGACGTCCACGCCAATCCTGGCTATCACGCCACCCGGCTATCACGCCACCCGGCTATCACGCCTTCCGGACATCCACGTCCTTACTTATACATATACACCACGACTATCACGTCACCAGGCTTCCAC